CCTGGTTCTGCTGGAGGTTTCTTCCTGTTCATGTGTTGTGACTATATAAATAAACTGAATTGAATAGAATTAAAGATCTGATGTTGCACATAGCAACCTAATGTAAATAATTAATTTTGTAAGTCTCCTTCATCAGTAGATATTGATAAATAATAATACAGTCGCCTGAATAAATTTTCTGTTAAACAGAACTATTTATTGGTTTGACAAAAGTTTACATGTCATATTACAGTCAGCTTAACGAAGAGGACACTCTCAAATGGTGATAAATATAAAGAAATCAAATAATATCATTACACAATTAAAATTACAGAGCATGAAAAGCACATTTGCAGTAGTTATATGATAACTGAATTATATTACTGAGACATTAATACATCAAGAGAGAATTTTTAAATTGAGAAACTTCCAAATTGTATTTATGCTTTTAATATTCTGGCAGCTAACTGATTTTTTTTTTTTTTTTTTACTGCAGTTTCAACCTTAATCTTACATTATTTCACATTTCCATCTCTTCTTGTTGCGTTTAGCAGCATTCTGTCTTGCCCTCCTTTCATACTCCAACATAATCTCAGATTTTACCCTTTCAGTTTCCTTTGCTGTCTTTTCCATGAGGTCTTTTTTCAATGCCTCTCTTTCCCTCTCACTCGCCTCAATAATCTCTTCCTTTTGCCTTCTCCACTCTGCCTCTCCCTCCTTCATCTCCCTCTCTGTCTCAGCCTGGTGTCTGGTGAATCTATATTCCATCTCCTTTTGTTTTTCCTTCTGGATAAGTTTTTTCTCAATTTCTTCCAGTTGTTTCTGTTGTTGGTCCTTTATTTCTGTCATGAACCGGGGACAGATGGACCCAGTATTCAAGGCGAGACAGTCAGTAGAAAAGTTCAAAACGTTTATTAAATAAATAAAACAAAACAGAAGCGGAGCTGTGGCTCGCGGACACTGTAGGCGGGGGGGTGGGGTACCGCCCAATCTCAGACATTCTGGTTTAAAAGTCCAGACCACGAATGTCCCCAGTGCTGCAGTCCCAGAGGTTATACTGGCAGCCGATCCTGGTGAGGGATCCAGAACAGACAGGAACAGACAGAACAGGCAGGATCCAGATCAGACAGGAACAGAAACAGGCAAGATCCAGACTTCCAGGCATCCACAGGCTTCCAGGAGGGTTCAGAGTCTGACTGGGACCAGAAGCATGACCAGGTGGTCACGCACAGGAGC